CTAAAAAACCGGATGTGGGGACAAGCCCCGAGGACCTCAACTGCGACTTCTCTCGGGGAAAGACGAAGGGCAGCCTCACGGGCTCTTCTGACAAACCGCCCCCTCCTGGTCTTGCAAAAGCCCCCTGAGGCCCGAGGCTGGTACTGACACTCGACCACAACTCCGATGAGCAAGTACGCATATGGCCAGATCTGCAGAGGAGCAGCCAGGCCAAGAGCATCTTAGAAACGTGACCATGCTGAACAGCTACTGACGTCGTCGCAGAAAACCACTCTGCCTGGACGTAAGCCCTTACCTTGTATTTCAGACTCCACCCCCTGTGCCTCCCAACAAGCTGGGCAGCCTCCAGCCCGTCACGAGAGTAAGATAGTCACTGTGGGAATTAAGCCCAGCTTCCTCCTGCCCCCCCCACACACACAACCCGCCAGCCCAGCCTGCATCCCAGCCTGCATCCCACTCTGGCATCTCCAGCACTGATGCCCGTCGGGGCACCAACGTGAATGGACCTGGAAACTGTAAACCAGAAAGCCTAAGTCGGTGGGATCTTCATGGGGGTGAGACACTATTTCAGTGTTCAATTCTCCAAGGACAGCTAGAAGTTTTCTTCCTTTAATAAAAAAATCCCAGACACACTTTGAAGTCCCAGAGAAAACCAGCAACAGAAGGAAGTGACCCCCCGACAGGGGTGCTGGAGAGCCAGCACCATCAGGAAAGCTCCAGGCTCAGGCGCCACATCTGCCTTGTCAGGAGCTGGTCTACAAATAAATTACAAAACGCTGTTTGGGGAAGACACAGCTGAACTGTTTCTTTCCCTCAAGGGCCGCAGGGATGGGCCGACTACAAATCAGTCCGTGAGCTGGCCGCCTTGGGGGCGTACTTGGGCATCAGTTCATGGATCTTCCGGATGTAGTCGGACTTTTCTGCACAGCCTTTGCATGTCTCCCCCCAGTCGTCCAAGATCTTCTTTAGCTCTTTAACTCGCAGCTTTTTCAGGTCCACCGTGCTCAGGTCGATCTGCTTGTCTGGAGGAGAGCAGGAGAGTTACCAGCTGGGCGGGGCGGCCACAGACCCCCAGCAGGCCCAGGCTGGATCCCCTGCACAGCCAAACCACCCCTTAAACAAGTGGCCCTACTGGTCATGGGGAGACAGTTCCAGACACACACAGGTGTGCGGTCCCACGCCCCCGAGGGGGAGGTTGGCCTCTTCACCAGGAAGGCTGGTCTCATGCTGGCAGTGTCCACCAGACACGCAGTGTCACCAGGGACAGGGATGGAGGAATGTGGCTCCCCCTCGCCCAAGCGCCTCTTGAACAGTCATGGTAGAGGTCAAGTTACGTAAAATGACCGTTTCAGGGCGACAGAGCGGGTAGATCCCCCCGCCCATTTCCCAGCACAGGCCCTGGTCAGGCCCCGAGTCAGGAGCTCACGCTCCACTCCTTGTGACCGAGAGAGGCCTGCGCCAACCGCACCTCCCAGGGGCTCTCTCGCAAGTCCAGGCCTTGACACACGTGGGTGAATACAGGACTTTGGACACGCAAACCACAATGAAATGTGTTGGTGACAGTGAAACGTCATAGAAGAAAACAACTCTTCCTGGTCCTGCCCCTTCTTTCCCAGCAGAGACCTACGTACAGGAGACGCCGCGGCAGCCGCAGCTCCTGGCCTGCCTGGACACGCACTTCCTTTCAAAATTATAAAGCGCTTGCAGCCAGGAAAGCCCGTTAAACCAAGGAAGGCCACACCACACCTCTCTTCAGCCCTCAAACCCATGTCCCCAACTTTGCCCAGATTAACAGCCAGATCTTTCTTCACCAACCTGCAAGGCGCCCTGTGCCCAGCTCACCACCTGTCATGCCACACTGGCTGTCTGTGCCCTGCCTACTTCCTCTGTCTGGAATGTTCTTCCATTCCCTTGGCTAATGTCCCACCTCCTACAAAGTTTGCTGAAAGGTCACCCCAATGATACCTATTCTGACCTCCACCCATCAGGATGCCAGATCTGCACCCCGCACTTAGCACCGTCTGCCACGTTCAGCCACATACGCACGAGGGCTCTTGGGTATCACCCCACGACGCTGGCACCGAGTCGCAGAAGGCCTGTGGCGTAGGCCCGACCACTCACCGTACTTCAGCTCGCAGATCTGGCTGTCTTTCTTCTTGAGTTTCTCGCAGATTTTCTCCACGGGGATGTGGTGGGCCAGCGGCTTGGACACCTCGTTGATGATCTTGGTGGCCGCGTCATCCGTGGCCCCAATGTAGTAGCACTGCAGCAAGAAAGGACACGGCCTCAGGAGAATGCCCTGCCGTCTGAGCACTTCCTCTCTCTGCAGGGGCCTCCTTTCCCCAGGCTGCGCCCGTCCTGGCGGTCAGACGCAGTCCGCGGGAGCCCCGAGTCGTGACACGCTGTCCCAGAGCTGGCAGCCACCACATGAGGCTAAGAGCCACCAGGGTTCAATCCTTTAAACAGACAGACAGACAGACAGAACCAGACTGCCAAGGACATGAAAGCTACAAAAGACACGCCTCACTGGGGCTCCTGGCCTCCATGGGGCCCCGGCCCACCAGGTGCACACGGTACCTCTGTCCTCGCTCATGCCGAGCTCGTTCTGGCCTCTGGGCACTCCCACTGCAGTTCCCTCGGCCTGGGCTGCTCTTCGCCCACCCATGACCCTTCCCTCTCCACCCCACCATCCCTTTTCCTCCTGACACCCACCCTGCGTCCGTCCTTTGCCTGTCACTCTCCTCCCCGGGGAGTCCCAGTGCCGGCACCGAGCAGGTGCGTAGTCAACAGTAACCGGACAAACATGTGACAACCGCAGAGAAAGCACGTCAGTCGGGCATGAGTTCACCCCGAACTCACTCGGGCCTCCGCCCGGGCCTGCGAGGAGGGGTCACCAGCTACTCACCAACCGATTCTCTTTGCCTCTCGCTTCGCGGCAGAAGTTTACAAGTTCTTTTTCGATAGAGGCCGGTGAGAAGGTGACATCTCTGTCTTTGAGGTCCTGGTAAAATCTTCCCAGATAAGAAACACAAACTGGAAAAGAGAGAAAGGAGAGGATGCTCAGCCACCGCCCAGCTGCACCCGACCCGCGGGAGGTAACGCGGCAGCCGTTTCCGCAGGAGGCAGCGGGAGGCGAATTCACGGCGCCCGTTTTTCTCCGGGGCTCACAGTCGGCAGAACGCGGGCCGGTCCCCGGGACACCCAATGCCCACAAACAGCTCCTCCCTCTTCCTTCCATGAAGTCTGAGCCCAGACTGAACGCGGCCTGGAGATGGCCTCACTGTGACCTCACAAACGGGCAAACCGGCGGCCGGAGGGCAGACGAGCCAGCTGCTGCCGATTTCCACACACACCGGCCCCGCGGTGCCGGCCGCCCTCCGAGAGCCTCTGCCCAGGGGCGGGGACGGATGAAAGCTCCGCGATGTGCCCATGTCAGGCCGTTCTCAGTACCACCGGGTCCTAACTTTTTCTCGCCCCACGTGATGTTTTCTATGCCCGGCCCGGCCCCTCTTCGGGCAGATCCCGCTGGGACAGGCCGCCGCCGCCCGCCCCGGCCCCGGCCCCGGCCCCTCAGCGTCTAGTCAGGCCCGCCCCGCCCCACCGTACCTTCGCAGTCGCCCGGTCGCAGCGCCCGGCCGCCCGGCAGCACGCTCAGAGCCAGCGCCACCGCCAGTCCGTGCGTGCCCACATCCTCCACCGCCGCCGCCGCCGCCGCCGCCCGACTGAACCGCGCCCGCCGCGCCTCCAGGTCCGGCCGCACGCGCAGCTCCCCATTGGTGGTCAGCCCGCGCCCTCCCACACGCCGCGCCTCCATTGGACACGCTGCCAAGAGCCCAGACGGGCGGTTCCACGCTGGCCTTTCTCAATTGGGTTGGAGGCGTAACCCCTTGGTCCTAGATAGTTGTCGGCCGCTGATTGAAGCAGGGGGACTGCGGTAGCGGGGGCATGTATTTTGGCGAAAATTATAAGCGTAAGAACGCAATTTTGGAGGGGGCTCTTTTTGTGGCGGAA